TAATGTTATTCTTGGAGGGAGTTTGGTGTTGTTAAAAATGTCTATCAATATGTTAATCTAGGGGCAGCTAAGGGCTCTTTGGGGCCTCATGCAGAGTTTAACATCCTCCTAATGTCCCTCATAGCATTAAAATTAAACAAAAGAGGCTGTAATTGCTCCCACAATAAAAAAAAACAATAATTCAATAAATACTCAATGTAATTCAATACTCAATAATTCATAGTAAACAGCTGATTTTGGATGTTGAATTTGCTCATGTTGGGTCTCTTTTTGTTTTCGATGCCCCAAGGAGCTGTGTTATGTTTATTATGATTCGAGTAGATTACATTTGGTCTTTCTTTTCCTCCGTCTGCAGGTGGCCATGACTGTGCGGTGCTGCACTACAGATTCACTGGGGAGAAAGAGGTGGACTTAATGTCAACTTATGTACCAGAGACATATAGGGGCCAGGGTGTTGCTGCAGTGCTGTCACAGGTAAGTTAAACTTTTCAGGCGTCAGTTGGTTTTAAAAAGCTGTAATTATGTTTTTATTATATTTAATGTTCCTGTTGCAGGCTGCCATGGACTTCCTGGTTGAAGAAAACCTCAAGGCTCATATCTCCTGTTGGTATATAAACAAATACATTGAAGAAAACCCTCAAAAAAATTATAAAGAACTCATCATCACTTGACTGCAGCCTGTTGGTCCAGTACTTCTACCTCAAATCAACTATAACCTCATGTAAATAACTGTATTGTGCTGCAGAGGCCAAATGGAGGATGTGAAACATGTTGTACTTGATCTGAGTCATCTAAAAGTCATAATTCACATTATATTTCAAATTATATAGATGCCTGATTAAACCTGTTAAAATTAGGGACAGTATATTTTTTATTACTTTGTAATGAACATAAATGTAATGCCTATTAATTATGAGTAAATTTACTCAAAATCTCTCAAAAGAAATTGAGGGTTCAATGATGGTGTTTCTGCGTGATATTGATTTTATTTCAGTTTTTTGTTTTTTCAATCTGAAATAAGCAAATTGATCCTTTTTTTAATATCAGATTGCACTTTTTTAATTATTGTGTCTGTATCTGTCTGTGTAAATTTTTTTGTAGATTAATTAAAATGCAGTCTCTCTTCACTGAGTATTTTGCTATCAGGGGATGGGTGGGTTGTTTCCTGTGTGAGTGTTGATGGTCAATCACAACAACTATATGAATATTAATATACAGTACATATCGTCACTGCATCGCTGTATGACAAGATAATATCATGGTGCAAAAAATGTAAAAAAAAAAATAACACCCATTTCATAAGAAACAGGAATTTTCCTTGAGCTGCGAGGTCCCCATGAGCCCAGAATCTAAGATGAAATCGCATGTTATATCTTGGATCCTCGCTGCCTAATGAGATTGTTTCTTCCACCACAGCAGGAGAAATAATAGCTCAGCGTCAGGTTGTCTGCAGGGGACGTTATGTCGAATGATGCCTCTGGTAAGAACAAATAATCAAAGAGATGAGCAGATATAACAGACGTGACACTTGGAGGTGACTGAATAAAAATGTAGGTTTTAATTGAATTTGGTGGAGTTGTTTGCCCCAGTGGAGAAGTATGTTTTGAGTACAATTTTATTTTACATCTTCAGTAACAGGTAGCCTATACTGTATAATTAAATGATACAGAAATGCATTTCTGTGTTGTGTTAGAAATACAAACAAGCCTTCCCAGTTGCTCCTATCATATACTTTTGATCCAATAGATGTCAGTCTTACTCCATTAAAGACCCTTCATTCTCATTTGGTCTGGTACAGTGAAGTCAATGTATGATTTATATCTCATAGTAGAAAATGTCTAACATTCATTTGACCAATAAAAAGTGTCAGTCCAAGATAAATCATGAGAGAACTGTGACCATCAGAGGCGGTTTAAAGGTATGTGAATTGACTAAAAAGCAAATTCCTGATTTAAAATCGGACATAATGTTGATGTTTTTAAACCATCAGTGACAGAATCAAAGCATGGATAAAAATGTTATTTTGTTAAAATATTATAAATGTATAACAAAAAAATTGTGGGGGAAAAAAGCTTTTTAATGCCATTTCCTAAGCATATTCGCAGACGTCCTTGCATATGCAAGTACCGTAAATTTGCCTGCCAAGTAGAGATCATCAATATAGCAACAAGCGCCGGCTCATCCTCTCAGCTCCATATGAGCTGTATGATGAGCCGAGCGCAGACATCAGCTCATCCCATCTGCTCCTGAATAACAGTCATGATTATAATACTCACAGTGTTGTCGGATCCAGACACATAGAAGATGTACAGTTTGTTGACAAGCATAATCTCTCTCCTCGGATGTGTTATGGTATGCACGGAGGGATTATGAGACAATGACAAAAGGCTTCCCACCCCTCCTATATATAAGAACAAGACACCCAGACTGACACATAAAAAAGAGAAACAACTAAAAATGATTAAAAGCTTTTTTGTGTCGTGTTCATTTTGTGTGTCTGTGTGGGTGTTTTGTCCCTATATGGTTGTTTTTGTGTCTTTGTGGTCATTCTGTGTGTCCTTAAAGTCCCCCTCCTCTAAAAAAATATATTCCCTAAATTGTCAGACCTTGACTACACCCAGTGGTGAAGTGGAGGGTATACGCAGGTATATAGGGTATACCCACCTCTTTCTTTGGCCGTTCACAGTATACCCACCTATCAGCGAAAAAGACATTGGAATATGTAGGTGAGTATACCCACTTCCTCCTTGTAAACGTATGCATGTATCTAGTGGTAGTACACCAGTATACTGGCTGGTATCGGTGCAGTCACTGTAGAGGTGTTTTCACATTCCTCTGGGGGGGGCGATGTCTGTTCACTTCCCCAAAATCTGAGATTCCAACATACGCTTGGTAAACTAGATTAGGTACGTCACTATTATGACAACCAATTGTTGTCTAATACTGGAACACATATTGTAGGGGGACCAAACTTTGACACAACACCAGCAAAGAATCCTGAAACCACCACCACAGAGTGAACTTGTCAGTACAGAGAGCAGAGTTAGCATTAGCATAGTGAAAGCTTCGACAGTTAACATGGTAGAGTACAGTTCTTGAATGTAAACAGAACCCTGGAGCTTCCTTCCTCTATCTACCAAAGACCCCATCGTGGCAGACATTATTGTATGTTTCACAGCTAGTCACACTGTATCAGCCACTGCCAGTTAGCATACAAGCTAACAAACAGCATAAAGAAATAAAAGATGCTGACTACACTTACCTGTCTGATAGCCTATAGCCCGTTTTAGATCGGATTTGTGCAAATTTGCAGGAAAGCCCAATCAGTCTTTTTTCAGCATTGGCAGTATAAAAACAAAATCGGGGAGTGTGGGGAAATGCCGCCTACCTACTTTTGGGTGCACAGAATGCGCCTTTTTGGGGCAATGGGGGGCGTGAGCAAGTAACAAAATGTGTAGCTCAGCATGTGACGTAAACAGTGACGTGGGAGGGAAGCCGCGGATAGTCAGTCCTTCGGGAGCTCTGTGCTTTCTCTCGTAAGCCGGCCCGTTCTTCACCATCCCTGTCATCTGACGGTTAATGGCCTCTTTGTTTGCGAGGACAAGGAGGGCGCGCAATTCTTTGTCTCCCCACTTGCTTATATTTACTGTAGTGTCTGTCAGGTTTGTGTTTCCCTCTTGCTACTAGCTGCTCGCTAATTCCTGCTATCAGCTGTTTCCTGTTTATCCACCGCCAGTGGGTCGCACGTGCGGCGTCATCAACAGCTCCTCGCACAAGTCTTCAACAGCCCCTCCCGTTGCAGAAGGCCTCCTCAGTCTGTTTAAACTAAAAGGGTTCCGCCAATATGACTACCCTACGAGGCGAAAAATTGGGCGCCTTGGATCAACTCACCAATCCGGCTCTGTGTGTCTAAACACTCGCAGCTTGCTGGCAAAACAGCCCAACATTCGCAGAAAATCTGGCAGTGTAAAAGGGGCTTATGTTTGCTGGTCGCCTATTTAGGTGCACAACAGACTCCTCAGCTGAATTTGGGTCTGACTGAGGCTAAAACTGTATGCCTGAGTCTTTCCAATGTTTCCTTTGTTGCTAACGGCAGCCATCTTGATGTGCATCGCTCTTTTACAGGGTGGGGTGGAGGCCACATCCAGAATTTCTCAATGAGGGAGGAAGAGTACAACTGCTTCCAGCCCCTTTTCAGCGTTTTTCTTTGAAGTTTTATGTAGGTAAACCATGATAAACAAAATACTATTATTGGTTTAAGTATTTTTACGTACTTTAATAGGTGTCAAAGAAGGACTTTAAGGACATTTTTTTGTGTCTTTGTGTTTATTTTGTGCGTCTTTGTAGTGGTTTTGGATTTGTTGTGGTCATATTGTGTATCTGTTGTTGTTTTGCATCTCTTTCCAATAATTTTGCATAGTCATTTTGTGGCTCTCTGTAGTTGTTTTGTGTTTGCATGCAGTCGTGCGATAAGCCCCTTCAGCCCATTCAGTAATCCATCTATGATGGTACAATAAAGTATTTTCTCACTGAGAGAATTTGTCCACCTTGGATGACTGTGCCTCTTCCAGAGAGCAACACATATAAAATTTGATGTAACATGGGCTAAAGAAAAGGCCAATTCAAAGAAAATATCTTTAAAGTTGAAACAGATGTATATGATGTGTGCTGCAGTAGCAGCCTGCACATCCTGCAGCTTCCACAGATTAGTGTGAAGATGCTGAAATCGCAGGCGTCTTCCCTTCCTCCCACAAATAATATCACATGGAAAGATTTGATGAAATGCATGTTGTGTCAAAGCCGACCATGTAACATTGTTTTCTAAATATAAGAATCTGGGCTCTGGTGTCCTAGACGAACCTTTGATGTGTGGCAGCAAAACAAACAAATATATCTCCTGTATTAAAAAATATAAATCCAGGAACAAGAGTCAATCTAGGTCCAGGAAATCAACCCTGAAAACTGTTGCAGTGGGGCACGGGGGGCACGGACTCCATTTTTTAACAATATGCCTCTCCTTGTGGTTCTGGTTCATTGTCCATTTCGACCTCAAATGTTGTTCCTGTGGAGGGCTTGTGGCCATTGACCGGCAGTTCTACCTGTGCCTCAGCGTCAGCGGGCACAGCGGTCAGGTACATGTCCCACATCTGCTCTGGAAGGTCCTCCTCAATCATTGTCTGCTTGATCATCAGGGTCTTTTCTATGTTCCGCCGCTTGTATTTAAACTCCATGATGGTCTTTGTGTACCTGTTGAGCGCCGTCACTGCAGAGCCCATGCAGGTGCCAAAAGAGCCCCACGCCAAGCTGAGAAGAGGTTTGAAAACAGTATTAGATTAAAGTCACTCTGCTGCAAATATAGGAACTCTATTAAATAGACAAATTAACAGGGATATGTCTTATATATGTATCTATATGGGTATTTCTATCCATTTGTCTCTACATTGACAGTTTGACTACATTTTTAATACAAAGTGCTTACACATAAGACCAGCTGTAGTCCCAGGTCTTAGGTCTCCAGTCTTCTGGCCCCATAGCAACAGCTAGCTGGAATATGGTAGTAAACATCATGTGGGCCACCATCCCACAAAGGCCTGAGGACAAGAGGAATGTGTTTTAGAATAGATTTTAAGATTCTATGGATTACTTTAAAGGCTCTTCTCAGAAGATACTTTTATTGGAGAGCCTTTCCTGATTTTAGACCGTCTTTTATTTCCTAAGTTTTTATATACTGAAGTGTTTTTATCAGCTCTTTTAAAAGTTGTTGTTTTCATGTCTGTTTTAATTATTGACCTGTAAAGCACTTTGAAACTGTTTTGAAAGGCAATTCATTAAAAATAAAGATTACTATATTTAAAGGTTGAGCAGTTACTGAGCAACATAATCATTCATTTGGAGTCCTGTTTGTATGGAGCCCCTAAAGTCCCGAAACGTGATTTCTTTTTCCCACAAGATATTTATCTTGTGAGAACAAGTTAGTTTTTTTATGCACACAACATAATTAACTTGTCCTCACAAGATAATAATCTGAAGGGAGGGGCTCCATATCCCTGTGTCCACCTGATGAATGTAAGTCCAACACTCTCTCTTTTAGCTCTGTTTTTGGTCTCTACCAACTCCTGTGGGAAATATCTGCTAAATCTTCCACTATGCTCACCAGCTAGTCTCTTACTATGTCTGTCTGCTGTTTGCTGCTGAGCAGGTACAGTGGGTGTACAGTGTCAGAGATATTTTTGCTGAAAAGGAAACATGGTTTGTAAAAACAGTGATAATTAACTTAAACAGTAAAGTTGTTGACTGTAAAACCAAAAGAATGAGAAACCACTCGTGATCATTTTAAGTGACACCTGACATCTGTCACATTGCACCTAATCATCTATTTATTGTTAGTTTAAAAACAATTTAGTGCAGCTTTAAGTAAATGAGACTTTAAACTGACAAACCTTTTGTTGATTTTACTGTCCTGAATTTGGGTTTTTACAGAGTAGATAGATATCATATTACAGTTTTCTCACAAATAAATGGGAGGAGCAATCTTTAAGGAATGAATACTGACAGTACAACTGTATTTCAGACTCGGGTGGAGGTGAACCAGCCTCTCTGTTATCCTGACCCTCTCTCATCCAGCAGCCTGCCTCTCCACAGCTGCTTTTCTTGGGATTAACTCATAACAACAGGGGGGATGGGAGGGAGCTCCTCTGGGCAGGTCTGGGCACAGCCCAAAACCGCTGCCCCGGCTCCAATCCGATTAGTCCACAAACCAGCAAATCCTCCGAGGAAGTGAGTGGATGCAGTTCAGTTAGCTGCTCTGTGTGTTCGCTGCTGCTGACTGACCGTCAACCAGCCTGACCTGCTGCCCTGCTCCTCTTCTTCCTCATTTACAGCAAAGTTATCTTCACCTAAAATACAGCTCCATGTTTACTATAGAGTTGTATGACTTTAACCCCGCCTATTAAGCATTTATAAGTACCATTAAAACATTTAAGAAATGGTATATAACACACTATAATGTAGCAGATATGAGGGCATATAATGCAGACAACTATAATTCCTCTTGTGTGCATCTGACAGTGTATAAATAGACAATTAATGACAATATAGTAACTTGCGCAGATTGTGCAGATTTCTTCCCTCTGACACACCTGTCACATATTCAGGTGTCAGTAATAGAAAATATGTCATCATAAACACTTAAAATGCCCTTCTATCTACATACAACAACAATGTAGTGCACTAAAACCATAATAAAAGCCAAATAAAGTGATTTCATATACATCAGATTTGAATAGACTAAAGCATAACATATAACCATTAAGACAAATTTTCTTATCTTACTTAAATAATTAGTTTGGATAATTTAGGGAAAATACCCACACAGAGTTGAGGGTTGTTTGATTTCACATATATACTGCATTTATTTACAGGTAAATAAGGATTAAACTGAAGATTTAGAAATACAGACATTATTTCAAAAACAGAAAGTGAATTTATTAATCCAGATTTATGGCAGGAATCAAGAAAATTCTTTTCTGTGCTCTAATGTGTCCAGTTTAAACTGACATCCTGTGGCGGGCTGTCCCGCTGTGGTTTCACCCCTTTGATTGGTTCAGCCCAGCTGGATTTAGTTGAGTGATCCCAGCGGTAGTCGCTCAGTGTAAAACTGAGCATTTCAGAGGCAGAACTGTAAAAGTAATTTCAGTGACTGAGCTGATCCTCAGTAGGTGAAATTAAATAATTAATTTAAATAATTAATACATTGATAAATTAATTTTTTTTTTCAATGGCCTTTTAAATTTTATTCTTGTTATACCACTGTAAAATGCATCTTTTTAAAAATCATATTTCACTTAAAAGAAAATTGGAATTAATTAATGTATTTATTTTTTTTCTGTGACAAATACATTGCATTTACATTGTATTTCCTGTGACTCCTTCACAATAAATGCCTGCTCATGTTTTGCTGGGTTTGTAGCAGCAATAAGAACAGCAAACAGTGAGGCTGATATCAGGAAGATAAAATTACACCGCATTGTTTCCTTCGTGTGTGAAGGCAATTTCAAATAAGGATGGAAATGGCGGACTCCGCCACCAGCAATGCAAACTACCATACAGAGAGGTGATCACAGGATATAAAAGCATTGAAGTTATTACTGACACTACTATAAATAGTATAAAAAATGTGGTTTCATTTCATCTATGGGTCCTTCCAGGACCTGAACGAGACTATCACCTGGAGAATAGAGTGACTATTTTACATTTGGATGCTCAGCAGGCCAACAAGCTAAATGATACTCACTGAGGTTAACCTCAACCAGTCAGATTATTTCTGCCTCTGAGCTGTGTTTGTATAACTGTGACTCCAGTCAGACCCACTGTGGCATTGCTATGTGGAGCGTCTTTATCGAGACAGTTGGAGGTCTACGTCAGCTGCTGTGAATCAAACAAGTGGAAACATCCGGTCCAACATCACACCTGCTGTCATCTGTTTGATGACACAGTGACAGAAAGAGAAGAAAACAGCAGTGGTACCTGACAGGGCAGTGCACAAGGCAGCGAAGGCACTGAGCTTCAGTCTGTTCATGATACTGAAGCAGGGGCACTGCTCCAGAATCATCAGAGCCCCGCCTGTGAAGAGCAGGGTGAGGTACAGAGTCTCAGCCACGATACACAACCACAGGACACCTGGGGATGCAGAAAACAGGGTGGAGGGTGCGGGTAGAGACAGAATTGAGCTGTGTTGTCCTTATAATACCCCGTTGCTGATGAATAATCCCACTTGACTGGATGCATGTGGGTACAACAGGTCTGCTCCTTTTAGGTCTGGAGATCTGATTCTGTTCGTCTGGGACCGGACAGATTAATAAAATCGGGGCAGCAGCTGCTGGGCGGATGCTACTGATGCTAGTTGTTCGTAACATGCAAGTTGCACAAAGGTCAGACCTCACAGTGCAGTGCAGGTTTTTGTTTAGTAAAATGTTTCCAATTGATCGAGTTTTTCTTTTAATGATATCTTAACTGACCAACTGTGCTTGGTCCGGGCAGGAAAAAAATGTCAGCCTGGTCACAAACTATGTCAAATTTGAAGTAAAACAGTACACTAAAATATGTTAGGTGGGAAATAAACAACACTGTGACATAATCTTGATTCATATTTAATCAGTTATGCCTAGTTTGACAGTTTGATCTGAGTTTCATGAGCCTGGTGTATTTGTGCTGGACAGAACAGAGACAGGTGATGCACTATTGTCAGTCATCGTATCAAAACCACCCTTTTGTAGATTAATCATTGTAACTGGCACAGCCCGGGCCAACCTTGCTAAAAAACTGTCTGAACGGAAATGAACGGACACATCTGCCAGAGCAAATGAAACATGAGCTGCATATTAGTCTGGTTTCCAGTCTACATTAAGTCAAACCTCAGTGACTGGATGTTTTAGCCAAAATGCACCATGGGAATTGTTGTAGTTGTATTAATCTTTTGTTCCAATAAGTCACCCAGGGAAGTTTCATACCAATCCAAAATGTAGAACTGTTCTAGCTGTGACATTGTCAGCATGACAAATGAATAAATTCTCATTTTCTATGTAGTACCCTACTAAATTTGTTCACATCTTATTTCATACATTTGTATTTGGTTGACAAATATACAGAGTTTTAGTGTGAAGACATGTATATTGCAGTAGGTTTTACAATTTCCTACACCTTGAATGTCCTTAAACATACAAGTCCTGTTGTTAGATGTCAGTCTGTCATTAACCAATCAATGCTTATCAAAGATGAGTCTCTTAGGGGCATCAGTGGCTTAGTGGATAGAGCAGGCGCCCCATGTACAAGGCACTTGCCGTAGTGGCCTGGGTTCAACTCCAGCCTGTGGCCCTTTGCTGCATGTCATTTCCTCTCTCTCTCTCTCTCTTGCCCTTTCACACTTAGATTTCCTATCAGTCATAGGCAAAAATGTCCCAAAAAGTATCTTGAAAAAAAAAAATCATACCTCTGCCAAATAGCTTGCCTCGCTCCATTAAAATATTGAATTTAACGTGGCCCGAGCTAGCTTAAGGTAAACATCTGCTCCTTCTAAAGATGATTTATGATTTATGATGACTTATTAAGAGATACTAACACATTCAGCAAATATTTAACATAATTCAGTATTAACTGTAGCTCCATGTAAAGTGAATAAATTTGATGTTTCTCAGCTAATCCTCCGCTCGTCTGCGTTAACGACGCAGTTTACACGTTTTTTTAAACTTCCGATTTATTAAAAAATTGTTCTGAGTGAAACATGATGCTGAATTTCGCAGCAGACTTCAGTAATAGTAATATAAAGTAGTAGCAAAAGAAATAACTTTTGGCGTTCATTTTGTGATACAAAGAAAGTACAGTAAATCAGTAACACATTCTCAGCTCTAATGAGTAAATACTTATTTTCTTTTTTCAAGGTACGTTGCTGAATTTATTTTATAACGAGTGATTTTCTAGTTCACATTATTTAAAAATGTGATAAAAAATAAATCAGTATTTGCTAAACTGAAGGCAAATTACTTTTGAAAAGAACCAGCTTTGGCTGTTAGCCACCAAGAGTAGCCACTAGGACTAACCACAGACAGTCTATGGAAATAACTAGCTTAATGCTACTTCTGCTATCTCACTGGTTGAAAGTGAACACAGAGATGCTAGATATTGTTTGTAAGTTCATTAAACCTGTTAAAGTTACTATGTTCATATTGTTACAAATATTATCAGTGTATCAGTCTGTAGCTCTGTTAAAGTACCAGAGGAACGTGTTTGACGTCATTTTCAGTCAGTGGTTTGCTAAGCTACATGAACTCTGAGCACCAGGTGAGCTGTGGCTAGCACTGTTGCCAACTCCTCAGTAAGAAAAGTAGCTATTGGCTGTCCTAAAAGTCGCTAGAAGTCGCTAAATGACGTCATCGCATAATTTGCATAATTGTCCATATGCATGTAATTGTAATGGCTACTGTAGGAGAGAGGAATAACATCGTGGGAGAGACAAAAACTGAGTAAAAAAAAACACCCTGAATATGTTTAGAACTACAAATGAACCTTCTTTCAGTGATTTATATTAGACAAAGAAAATTTTACATTTACATCCCGCCCTGACTGTAAACCAGGTCAGGATCAGCCACTGGTGGCTAGTTAGCTTAGTTAGCTAGCAACCATGTGCTGGATGGAAGAGAAGTGACTGCTGCGTAGGGTGACCATATTTTGATTTCCAAAAAAGAGGACACTCAGCCCGGCCATGAGGTAGCCTACTTAAATGATACTCGCCGTTTACTCAAAGATGCCTTATAATTTTAATATATTTAAAGTTTATATGTATGAATAGAATATTCAGTTATATTACAAACTAATATCTCTCAAAGACAGAAATTCAGATAGGCCCCTATAGATAGGGGACACATAGCCTACACACACAAGGGTGTGGCTACCCGATCTGAGCCCGATGGGTCCCGATGGGCAGGCCTACCTGACGGGTCGGGCCGGGTTTGGTCAAAAATGTATAAATTGTATTCGGGCTCGGGTCGGATTCGGTCAGCTTTCAGTGAAAATGTAGTGTAAAAATAAATAAAATCCTATTGTCTGTCCTGTTTATTGCTGGACTGTTATTTACTTGACAACACCTAAACATAACATACACACACATAGGCTGTTTGTTTCTACCTCTCCCCTCGCTGGAAGCCTCGGAACTCCCACCGCCCGCCTCCATGTTGATTAAATGCTGAAAATTAAATAGGCTAAAAGAGGGAGACAGGTTTTTCCTATTTTATCTTATTTTGTTTTATTTCTCTCTCTCCCCTCGTTGGAAGCCTTGGATCTCCCGCCGGCCGCTGCCCGCTGCCCGCTCCCGTCTCAATCACGGAGGTCTCTCTCTCTGCGGAGCACCCACGGTGCACACCCGGCCTGTTAAATAGCCTGTAACCATAACAACTGTTATGGCTCGGTTCGGTTTTGGACATACAAATACAGAATGACTGTCGGGTTCAGAAGGGTTCGGACAGAAATATGCGGCCCATGCCGCACTCTAACACACACACACACACACAAGGAAAACTGGACATTATCATCAATTTATAAACACCCCTCGGACGCCCCGGACAGGACGTCAAAAGTGGACATGTCCAGGCAAAGGAGGACGTTTGGTCAGCCTACTGCCACGTGTGAAAGAAAAGACACTTTGCACATAGTTTCTGGGTGAGTATGGACACTGAGAACTGTGATAAATTAAATATTTGTAGTTTAAAGGCAGTAAGTATATTGGTAATTTTTAATTCTGTGGATAGTGTGCTTCAGAGGCTGTGACCAGAGCTGGTGCAGTGGGAAGTGTTGTTCACCTAATTTGGGAATAAATAGTTTTAAATTCATTCATGCTCTATTACACTCTTGTATCTTTCAGGGATAGTGTTACTACAGTATTGTGAGTGGGAGTTTAAAAGCTCACAGTATAGCTTCATAATTTGCTAACTGGGCTGCTCTATATTTTAGTCAGATGTATATGCCCACAGTAGACACATACCAGTTTTACATTTTAGTAGAAGCTTACCAGTTCATCTCCCATGCTGAGTGTGGGGAGTATGTTAAGAGGTCTGTATAAAAAGTTTAAACAAATCTGAACTGAGTTGGTGGGCTACTTCCAATAAAAGGGGTGTCCAAAATATTTTAATATTGTGTCAAAATAACTAAATCAAAATTAGCGTATTCCAGTGTTGATATGACACTGGTTGGTGGTTTACACTAAAACTTGCTTGTTTCCCTGACTACAGTGGAAGTCAAGGTAAATAATGAAATCTAGGTAGCCATGCTGTAATATATCCATCTAAATAATGTTACCGTGTTCAGGAATGCATCAAGCAATTCTGTTTCTCTATAAATTTTCAAACCAAACATTTGCTCATAGTTTAAAATGTCAAACTTAATAACTTTACCTCTTTCATGCTCTGGTGCAATCTCTGAGAAGTCTCGACAGTCGAAACCTGTGAGCAGAAGAAAAACTACAGTAAAATTAAGCTGTTGTAAAAAGAAATTACTTTTTTTTTACAGGCCTGTAAACTTGACTTGTAATATGGAGAGGAAAATGTAGCATGTTATGTAATATTTTTCTTGAAATATATGGACTTATTTTTATAAAATCTTAGTTGTTGAGTTGTTGTTTTTAAAATTGGTGCAACACTTTACTGTACTAACCAAAAAAAAAATCCAATTTATTCAGCATTGTTCCAGTAATTTCAGATGAAAATGAGTAAAAAAGAAAAAAAACAACAACCAGAAAACAAACAAGTCGTTTCATAGTCAGCCCTTTATCAGATTGTGTTCTTGAGAAGGTGACCTGCACACTGTGTACCAGTCATATTGATAGAAGTCAGTAAGTTGCATGCAAATCCATAGACAATCTTATTCTTCACTATTAGCAGAGCTTATGAAGCCAAATGGGATGGCTCGCATGCAACACAAAGAGAAATGGTTTTAACCCAGTTCTGACTTGCTAATACATGTGTGAGGAGTATGAATTATGCATCTGCCCTTTTTTTGCATTTGGATAACAGTTACACGTCCTGATAAACACACAGAGACATTCTGCTCACTCCTATTTGTTACTTGGAATTACACTTGAAAGATGGAAGCTCAGGGGAAACTTAAAGGACCTGAAAACATATTTTTCTTAATGAACACACACACACACACACACACACACACACACACACACACACACACACACACACACAAGTCAACGACAGTTTCATTGTATTTTGTGTTTTTCACAGGAGAGATTTCTGTATGTTTTCTTTTTCGCCTCAAAACTCTTCTCATGGGTATAAAGTGGGTGGGGCTCCACTAGAAAAAGTTCATGTCAAATACTTTGATCCACGAATTATTCTGAAAAAACCTCTGCACATCTGAATGTATGACAGGTGCATTGGAGGGGGTGAAGCAATACTCCAGTCATCAATTTCACTGCCCTGTCCTGATGAAAAAGTCATTAAAGTAATTTTCTGATCAGTAGAGATTCTCTTAGAGGCTAACAATAACTTTATCTACTGTAAACCTGAACATACAGAACTGTAGCATTATGACAAGACTTGTCTAATTTATGTTTTTGCTGCAGTTTTATTTACAGAATGACCTACTATCATCTTTTGAAGCAATACTTTCAGTATGAAGAGTAATATTGCAGCATGGGAAAGTTCCACTCCACTACATTTTGGAATGATATACTTTTTAAACTTTGCTACCTGTATATGACAGCTTTACCTTTGCAGATTAAGATTAATACAAAACACAACAACAAATAAATCCTGATGGATTATCATATGTTAAGATACCTGTAATATATTAAGTAGTTAAAGTAAGCTCCACCATTACCTGCAGCAACATTAACACCCAAAGCATCAGTAATTATAATCCAGTACTATCTCTGAAATGGGCCATTCACACAATCAGTACTTTTACTTTTGGTACTTTGAGTCACATGTTGAATGCAGGACTCTGTGCAGTGTTTCTACACTGTGTTATTGCTACTTTTATGTTCTGAAAAGATCTGAATACTTTCTCCACTACTCATAAAGATCCAGACTGCAGGCAAACTTACCTTCCGATATGATTTCCTGGTTAAATGTTTAACAGAGAAAATGTATACAGGTAGGTAAGTTTTATGTTCTGTTTGTTAATATTTAGCTTTGATATTAATGTTGATTAAACTTGGCGATTGTGTGTGAATAACTCACGTCTATGATGCAATATGTAGGACATTTATATGGGTACCTGCAGCAACATCTCACAGCCTTAAATCAACTCTAGGCTGATTTTTCATTCATTTTTAAAGACTTTCTATGCATTCTTTAGCACCATTTTATACTGCCAATGAATGCTATTTATCATTGTGAACATTTAACAAAGTATAAAGCTGCCATACAAAAAGTGACACAAGCAGCTATAGAATTGGACATATTTTTAGTCATGATCACTCAAAACATTACTACAGGTTAGTTCAAGGTTGTACAAATGATTGTTTCTCTATTTATACACATAAATACAGCAAAAAAAAGTAAAATCCTGTAAATCATGGAAAATGTTGTCACAGTTTTAAAAACATTTGTAGGTTTTGTTTATACACTGGGGGAGACACCTATGAAATAGGGAGTTTGAGGTCCACTGCCAGAAAAATTTCAGCATCAAACCCTTATTTTCCTGCATTCTGGTGAATTTTTATGCACAGTTTGTGCCTTTTCTGCATCAATTTATGGTGTAAATATCTTTAATTTTGTCACAGTAAAAGTACTCTGCTACATCTACACCTATGGATGTAAATAAAGTAGTGTTACGGTTACTGTAGATAAAACACATCCAGTGTATTCACCAATGAATAGATGGTCTTGGTAAAAACGATGCTGAGATTCGGAACCTTGAGATTGACAAAGGAGTCAGATTTTTGTTTCCTCCACCATCACTTCCTGCTTTCAAACACCTCGCTGAAGCTGAAGGCTTACCGTTCATGTCGGCGGCCTGCTCGCAGGAGAAAAATATTCCTGTGTGAAACTTCCTTAAAAGAAACTTCTCCTCTCCGGTTTCAAAGATGTACTGGACCAACCGGCTGTCGTTGATGTTGGAGTTGTTGAAGCGGATGCAGAACCACTGCTTCACCTTCACTGGCGGTCCTGTGCAGAAGGGTTTGGCCACCTTCCTGGTCCCCTCGCACCAGTAGCTGGTGGTCACCGCTGATAAGGCAAAAGCAAACGCCACAAAGTTGAGGGTGAGTGCCAGAGAAGCCCGCCGCCCGCGCTCTAGCCTCATGGTCGAGGCCAGGCCAGAGGAAATGAAATGAAAAGGCAACTAATCCTGGCTTTCGATATGTAGCCACCGTGTTTCGCCTCCCAGCAGATATATCAAATCTTCATAATCTCGTTGGGGCTCCTTGGGTGAGAATTTTGTACATCCCTCTGCCGGCTCTAATGATGCAGCACCACCTTGATTAAAGGATTCATTCTCTCCACTTCCACAGAAACAATAGAAACCCATGGCAGTCTTTGCTTTTCTCTGCTTCATTTGAACTCTTTCACTCTCTGCTGCTCGTCTAACCCCATCCTCGCTCCTCCCCTTCTACAAATCTTTTCCTGCAATATTATCCATTACAAATGGCAAATTATATCCCAGACTTCCTTTGAGCATATTAATAACAAAAAAAGATTACTATGAGCTTAGATTATAATCCAGTGCAAGTTTACAGTCCCCTGATTTTCCTGCATGCTATGTCAAAGCGTAACTCAAAGTAATTGCAGCCACAGATGTAAGATCAAGTGCCTGTTTTACAGTCGGTGACCTGTGACATAATGTGTACAGTCTCATATGAAAATCCATCCATCCAATGTGTGTGCATGCAGGACAAATCTCCTCATGTCTAATAGCCTGCTGATATGGGAAAACGTAGCGCAAATGAAGACAAATAACTTACAGAAGTACGTGAAGGAGATGACAGATGTTAGGAGAAAACATCTGCTGCCTTAACTCTAGATAATTTTCCATCACTCCATTAATTTTGTCATTGAATTCTGCAGCTCAGAGTTTCAGTAACAAATGTGTCACCTTTGGTTTCAGCTGTTTAGTGCAGGCAAATTAGTGCCATTTTAAAAGCTGAAATGATGTGAGTTGCATACCTTTTTCAAGTCTCGCCAACATCAGATGGTGTTGTCTGGGATTAAAACATGGGTAAATGAGCAGAGAAACGGTCTGGTGACACTAAGAGGAATTAATGCAGTACCACCAGCCTGTTTATTGGCAAGATAAAGTGGGCAGGCTGAAAATGGCTAACAAGAACCAGACCAAGAGACTGTTTCTTGGTGTCATTAGCATGCTAACATCCTCACAATGACAGTGCTAAAATGCTGATGTTAAGCTGGTATAATAATTACCATGTTTACCATCAGTTAGTTAGTTAGTTAGTTAGTTCAGTACCAGTGTTAGCATGCTAATATTTGCAAAGTAGCACTAAACACAAAGTAAAGCAAAGGCTAATGTTTTGTATGTATTTGGTCCTAAACTATAGTGGTAGACAAATTTAAATGTCCCTAATGTTTGCCCAGATGAAAAGTCAGAGTCACCAAAGCTATTACAGTTCATCCTGTGGGAAACACGAATGTCTGTGCCTATTTAAGACCAACCCATCTGATACTTCTTGAGATATTTTACTCAAAACTACAAGTATCAACCCTAGGTTCAGGGGATCACCTGGGTTATTAGGGTTCCTCTTCTGGGTACCAAGAATGTCTGTAGCAAATCAATCATCAATCAATCATCCAGAAATATTTCAACCAAAGTGGTCGACTGACCGATAAACATTTCCATGCTTGGAGCCGTGCTGCAAGATAAAATGATGTTTATTTTCTCATATTTTATGGTAAAAATACTGGATAGTTTATCTATTCATGGCCCTAACAAGGATTGATGTGTGAAACTGGTAAAGGTTTAAATTGGTAAATTAAGCAGTCTTATACAAAGCTTATAAGTTCTACTTTTTACTAAGAGTTTCTTGACTGCTGAACCACGTGTACACTTAAACTGATTATTATATTTTTAGGTTGGCCTTTTTTATGGTGGTTAAAAACTAACCAATGGAGGCTGTGTTTGCTCAGTGTGGTTTCATTGAATGTACTGTATGTGACACATTTCCAATAATGTTCCTCCTTGTACAGTAAGTATGTGACACAGAGCTGCTCTGTTGTTTAAGACGTGTTGCTAGGGAACAAATTGGTGTCCCTGGTGAGTTTTCAAAGCACAGACATTTAGCATTATGTAAAATTTCATCTGTGTTGAGTCTATCTTACCTCGTGCACCAGAGGCATCTGAGTTTGGCCACGATAACATTTTTCAGAGTAAAATCTTCTCAGTTAAGTATTTCTACGGTTGAGAATGAACCCTAAAGCTTACAGTAAATCTCAGTGACACATACCATAGAATACAGCAGCTACATGCCACATGAAAAACATGTTTTTATGCAAACAATCTCCTAACTATATGAGTTCTGCCTCTGATAGTATGAAGAAAAATGTCTCGCTGTACATCATTAGTTTTTACAAACTCTCTAGAGACTATTCATGCAGTCAGAATACAGTGAGGTTAAAATACACAACAGGCCTTAGGACAGTCCCTTAAATTTGGTTTACAGTTATTTGCAGATACTTTCAAGTATTTCTCCCTCTGTAAATGATCACCGAAACTGAGTGTGGTCTATAGTATAAAGAAACAATATTAGAATAGAAACAATTAGTAACATCACAGTGTGCTTTATCTTTTCACTAAAAACAACCATTTATTGCTTCTTTGGTGATATGCAATGCTCTGACTGGTTAGATAAGTAGAGAACTACAACAAAATAACATTTCTTCACTAAAAGGAAAAAGCCAAACTGCAGTATACTGCAGATATGCAGTATATTGATTTGAATATACACATGCTCTTAATGATGGCCATGTGGTTTTAATAAGCTGCATGCACACCAATTAATCAGTATAAGTGTATAGTTGCAACTCCACCAATTTAGACTCATCATCATGTTGACTTGCCCTTGTGGAAAGGTCTAAATACAGTATTTACCTACCCAGAGAAATTAAAAATACATTTCCCTAGTTTTCATCCTGTGTCCCTGTGTAATTTGATCATTTATTTCATGTTATAAGCCAAATAAATGGCAAAAAAAAATCATCATCAGAGTATTTTTACATCAAAAAACCTTTTTTATTTTCTTCTGTAAAATGTAATACATAACTCTGAGCCTTAATAAAATGTATACGGGTGAGCTACATAATAATTCCCTCCCTGTACAGTTGTCATGAATATTGAAATTAGCTATTAAGACCAAACCTGTTTTTGTACCAGGCCATTAACATGTTTATTTCTGCTGTAAAGTCGGGCATTTTAACATGGGGATCTGTGGGGATTGACTCTGTTTTGGAGCCAGTCTCAAGTGGACCTTGATGAACTGCAGTTTTTGGCACTTCGGCATTTGCTTCATTTCTCAGCCTTGGAGGTTGCCACTTGGTATTCTGTCTCTGTCTGAATCGCTCTGTTTTAGCACCTGTCTTTTTAAGACCTCTCCCTGAAAGCCCAGTCTGCTCTGATTGGTCAGTGTTTACGGGTCTTCCCCATCCACACTATCTCGTCTTCAGACATCAATGCATTAGAGGAAACTGGATACAACATTGGTGACAGGGCCCCTTTCCTTTTAATGAGGTGCCGCTCAGTGGCACATGAAGTCAGGATGGCTCAACTGCTATGTATAAAATTACCCAGATGATCGGCACTGCTTTTGCATTGTGCGGCCCATAGAGCTGGCGTACTAGAGACTTAGAGCGACTGAGTGCCACAGAGTGCAGCCGAGTGTCCTTTTCCGCTGGCTGAATGGCCTACATCCGGTTAAGCCCTCCAGTAACTTGAATGACTATAAAATGATCTAGACTTTTGAAAAGTTATTAGAGCGAATGAATCAAATCCTGATTGTGAAACATGCAATTTTGCGGGGGTTGTGCCGCTCAAAAAAATGTATTCACTGATTTACAGATGTCTCTTTCACAATGTAAGTCAGTGAGAAGAAGTCTTTTTGGGCCACGGGGCTTCAAGTGACGAATCCTTCTTCGCAAATCCAAGGTCTCATGCAGTGAATAACTGATATACAAATGGTCATCTTGTGGGTGAAGAATTTTCTTCAAACAGTTCACAAATGGGTATGAAGGTCTGATGTGTGGGAACATAGAAAAGCCTTTAGAGTCTTAGATCTCTTTGCAAGTTAAGTATTTGCATCAATGAATGTTGATTTGTTATTCATGTTGAGTCAGGTAAATTTGTCTTTAAACTTGAGAGCAGTACTTTGAGTCGTAGCCAGCATCTCACTGAGTAATTCCCCTGAACACAAAGAGATTATTTGGAACATTAGCTTCCATGTAATAAAAATGTAAACACTACACAGGAAAAATAAGTCCAGCATCACACTTGATGAAGCAGTAAGCCTCTTGTACAGTCAACATTTCCCAGATTATCCCTTTTTTACATAATAAATACCTGCTAAAGGGAAACTCGTTCTGAGTAAAAACCGTAATATCAAAGTTTCACTGACAGATGTGAGATTTCCTCCCAAGGCAGGGATGCTCGACATTCTGTGCATTTCATTACAGAACCTAAATATTATGTGATTATGTAAAAGTACATGATGACATTTGAAAGACTAAAGAATGATTTTGGGTTTCCTAATCTGATTTTGCAAAGGCAGCTATGCAGAGTTTCAGATAGATGCTTCCAATTTAGACAAAAAGAGGACTATATCCATTTACCAGTTGAGAAAACCAGTTGGTCTCTACTGATCCTCAGTATCTCTTTTATGCATATATTTCACTTATTTTCTCTTACCTTTGTTTTGAGTACTTTAATGTGGCTTTAGGTGTCATTTGAGATCACTACAGTGTGCATCAATCAGACATTAGGTGCATCAAAAAATATCACCAACAGTGGAGGATTTTAGGATTATTAGGACATGGAACACATCTGTTTTCTATCTTTTATCTTAGCTTATACTGACATTACCATTACACAACACACATCCCACTTATCCCAATTTATAAATTACCTTCACTCACTGTGGTGTGGTGTTGGAACCACTGCAGCAGATGGTCTTGTAATCTGGCCTGAGACTATTACACTGGAGACACAGATAATCTCATCCCATTCATTGTGGAGGAGCAGCCCACACCACAAAGAGGCTTCACCACGACCCCCAGCGTCCGGCCGGCCTCGTCTGAATCCCTCAC